AGGACGAGAAGGGAGGAGGCGAGGGAGTAAGAGTCCCAGGACGATGTCCAAATGTACCCCAACAGTGGATCAAGGGGGGCCCTCTCCTTCCTCCTGCCTATGGAGGTTGGAGGGATAAGAAGAAAGAGGAGGACGAGGAGGGAGGAGATCGAGGAGGGAGGAGGGAGGAGGGAGGAGGGAGGAGGGAGGAGGGAGGAGGGAGGAGGGAGGAGGGAGGAGGGAGGAGGAGGAGGAGGAGGAGGAGGAGGAGGAGGAGGAGGGAGGAGGGAGGAAGAGGAAAGAAGAACGAGGAGGGGGTAAGCACCCTCGCCCACCTATATCCCATTTCCCGGAGAATGACTCAAACCCCGCGCGTGTTTCGCGCACGCTAAGGTTCTACGCGTTGATGTTTCACCATTTCTTCGTTGTCATGCGCCTTTTCCGGCGACATCAGCAGAAACTCACGAGGGGGAGAGAGGAGAAGGAACGGAATGCAGAGAGAGAGGCAAAGGAAGAGAGGGAGGAGAAGAAGGGAAAAACGTTCAAAGAGCAGGGGGACAGAGATGTTCAAACATCAACCGTGGGGGCGCTTACATACACCAAGGGCGGTGGGCGAGGCCCCTGAAGGGTGGCATCCTGAAACAGCGAGTCCGGCTGCACGGCTGACTCCGCAGCCTCCGAGGGACGCAAAGGGGGTGGACTGTGCGCAACTGAACGCCCTCTGGGCTCTCGTCGTCCTTGCAGCGACGGGGCCCTCCAGGACTGGTGGACTCCCCGGATCCAGAGCCGAGCCCTGGGTCTACGCAGGCAGGGCCTGCAGTACAGTCAAAAACCCAAATGAGGACGCGCGGCAAGGACGCAAGACCCTTGGAAGCCGAAGTTGGGATTTTTGGGGCGGCGGGCGACAAAAACCTCAAGGACGCAAGAGCAAGGAAGAGCAAGGACGCAAGGGTACCCTGAGCAAAGTCGCGCGTCCTTAGTAGGGTTTTTGACTGTACAATGATAGAACAGGGCTAGGATCGGGATAAATCGCTCCAGAGCGTTCCGGAGCGCTCTCAGAGCGTTCCGGAACGCTCTGGAGCGGCCGCGGCGCCCAATACATCCTCCATACCCGCCGATTTTCAGAGATTTCGAGTTATCCCGATCCGACTTTGTCCTTTTTAATTACTAGGGTTTTTGACCGTACATCGGCGGTGGACAAACCTCCCTTTGGTAGACCTCCCCTTAGTGACAAAGGCCTGGGACCGAAACCGACGGAGCTGGACCCGCAATAATGACGGCCGCGACGCCCTCGCGCGAACCGAAAACGGCCAATTCCTTAATCGACGTGCCAGGGTAGGAGGTCTGTCCACCCCCGATTGTTTTTACGGATGGAGGGCGTTTTCTTTTCAACACGGGGCTCTCGCCTCAGCGCCACGCGCATTCTCTTTGAACGCTCGCACTCGCTTCGCGGATGGACGGCGGCCGATGTTCAAAATGGGGCCCTCGCCCTGGCGCCGCGCGTATCCGCTGCCTCCCGCGCAAAATTTAGCCAGGGTAGGAGGTCTGTCCACCCCCGAGTACAATGACCTGCGCTCCGGACGCACGCCCTCGGCCCGACCGGCTCCGGCGGCGCCGCCCCCCGTGGCCCCCCCCCCGAGCTGCCCACGGCGCGGCAGGCCTGCGGACCCCCGCGCCGGACCCGCCCTGTTTCCACCGCCTTGGTACCTGCTTCCTCCCCCCATTCCCCCCTCATCCTCCTCCTCTCCTCCCGCCTCCTCCTCCCCTCTCCTCCTCCCTCCCAATCCTCCTCCTCCTCCTCCTCCTCTCCTCCTCCTCCTCCTCCTCCTCCTCCTCCTTCTCTTCCTCCTCCTCCTCCTCCTCCTGCTGCACACTGAGACAAAGGAGCGATCGCTGGCTCGACTGCCTACCAGACCACCCCAACCCAACCCGAAGACCCGAATTTCGGGTTGGGGGGGGTAAGGGTTCCACGCGTGTTTTTTCGATGTTTCCCGACCCCCCCCCACTAGAAATCGAGGGTACATTTGGGCCTTCGGGTTGGGTTGGGGTGGTTTGGTGGGTGGTGGAGCACAGCGCGCCCTGAGGGCGGTCCGTGCAGGGGCGCCCATGCCTCAGATCCCGACTCCAGGGCCGGCACGGCAGGCTCCCGACGGGGGCCCGGACTCTGCACGGAAGCCTCGGAGACGTCTTTTCACCTTGCCAGGAACGGTCGACCCAGGACCACACGTGCCCAGGACGGTCCCCTCGGCCCACAGCAGACCTAATTAGAGGGAGCACGATCTTCTGGGCGATCGAGCTCTGGCCAGAGAGGGAAAAGATTAGCGGATCAAATACGAGCGAATGTCGCGATGGAAAGGGTCCCAGAGAGGGCTCGGGGTGCCTCATCGCAGCTTGCTTCGCAAGTGCGTCTGCGCTGTTATCGCCAAGCATGAAATATGATTATCTCTTGTTCTACCTATACGACCACCCTTCGGGTGATCAGGAGGTTCGGGGGGGGGAGGGACCAACGTCTCACTCGATCGGTCTCACTATCGATCTCAGCATCGGTCTCGCTCGATCGATCTCCCTCGGTCGATCTCACAATCGATCTCACTCGATCTATGTCACAATTGATCTGACTATCGATCTCACAATCGATCTCACAATCGATATCACATTCGGTCGCACTATCGATCTCGCTATCGATATCACAACCGCTATCACAATCAACGTCATCATCATCATCATCATCATCATCATCATCATCATCATCATCAACAACAACAACATCAACATCAATACCATCATCACCAACATAATCATAATCGGGACACCGTCCTCATCATCAACACCAACATCATCATCATCATCATCATCATCATCATCATCATCATCATCATCATCATCATCACGGTCATCAACATCATCGGGACACCACCATCATCATCATCATCATCATCACCATCATCACAATCATCATCATCATCATCATCATCATCATCAACATCATCATCATCAGCAGCATCGGGACACAGTCATCGTCATCATCATCAGCAGCAGCAGCATCATCGGGACACCATCATGATCACCATCGTTATCATCATCATCATCATCATCATCATCATCATCATCATCATCATCATCGGGACACCATCATGAACATCTCATCCTCATCATCGACATCATCATCATCAGCATCATCAACATCATCATCAACATCATCATCATCGTCATCATCGGGGCACCATCATCATCATTACCAACATCAGCATCAACATCATCATCATCATCATCATCATCATCATCATCATCATCATCATCATCATCACCATCGGGACGCCATCATCATCAACATCATCATGATCATCACCATCATAAGAATCCTCATCATCGGGACGCCATAATCATCATCAACCTCATCATCATCAACATCATCATCATCGGGACACAATCATAATCAGCATCATCAACATCGACATCATCATCATCATCATCATCATCATCATCATCATCATCATCATCTGGACACCATCATCGTCATCATCATGATCATCAACATAATCATCATGATCATCATCATCATCATCATCATGTGACACCATCAGCATCATCATCAGCATCATCATCATCTTCATCATCATCATCGACATCATCATCATTATCATCATCATCATCATCATCATCATCATCATAATCATCATCGGGACACCATCATCATCATCATATCATCATCATCATCATCATCGTCCTCATCAGCATCATCATCAGCATCACCATCATCATCATCATCATCATCGTCATCATCATCATCAGCAGCATCATCATCATCAGCATCACCAGCATCATCAGCAGCATCATCATCATCAGCATCATCATCATCTCATCATCATCATCATCATCATCATCATCATCATCATCATCATCATCATCATCATCATCATCATCATCATCGTCGCGGGACACCGCGGGACACCGGCGGGACACCGCGGGGCACCGCGGGACACCGCGGGACACCGCGGGACACCGGCGGGACACCGGCGGGACACCGCGGGCCACCGGCCGCCCGGAAAGGAATCATTTGGTCCGGCCGCGCCTCAGCCACACGGGACACCAGCGGGACACCGGCGGGACACCCGGCCGGCCCCGGCCCGGAAGGGAGTCATTTGGTCCGGCCGCGCCTCAGCCACAGGAGACTTTCTCTCGCCCGCCCACGCAGCTTCGCCTCGCCCGCACGGCACGCACGAACACGAAACCGAAATCGATTTCCCGGTAGGGGGGCTCTCCGTTCCACTTCGATCTCACCCCCTCACCTCCGATGAATGTGTCTCTCTCTCTCTCATTCTCTCTCTCTCTCTCTCTCTCTCTCTCTCAGGTCTAGATTGTCGGCCACGTGGGTCTTCATTTTAGTGGACCCATCGAGGTGGGTCGGCTGAAAAAAAAGAAACGCCCAGCTTAAGGCCTGTTGTATGAGAGCTGCGCCTGTGAACCATCGGATGAAACTGTTGGACAACGTTCGAGACAACAAAACAAGGGAAAACAAACAAAATGACTCCAAGGAAGGAGGGGCCATCTGGCCAGCCACAAAAGAGCCCAGCATATTCAGCAGTTTGAAGGGGACGGGAAAACGGGGAGGGGAGAGGGGAGCTGACCTAATTAGCAAAGGACTCCTTGGTCCTCCCCGTAAACCACGCTTGCAAAGCCAGCTGCGCCAGACCGCGGCTTCTCAGCCGCGAGCGTGAGAACAACGGGGCAAGATAACAGAAGGAACAAAATCAAGAGGAGACAGGAAGAGGAAGAGTGGTCGAAAGGTGCCCCCCCCAGCTCCTGTGATCACTGGGGAAGCCAAAAGGTACCGATACCGTTACTCCCTGGACCTCTCCCGGAGTGCGTTCTGACCAAAATTTCGATGCGAATCCAGCGATGGCGACGAGGGCCTCGCAGGAGGCCAAAAAATGGGAAAACGGCGAAGCGTAGAGGTATGGGTACCTTTTCCCTCTGAATCACCCCGCCCTCCTACCTGCCTCCTGCCCCCCGGGGTCCACGCAGGGTGTCCGTTCTCCTCCGACCAGTAGAGGCAGACTGCCTTCGGAAGAGCCGCAGAGGGGGGGCGGGGAGCAGGCGAGCCCAGGATCGAATCGATACGTCGGAGCGGCGATCGACATGAATCGGATCGCCGGAAATCGGCGGCCAATGGGACGCACAGAGACATTCCAGTACTATATGTCCTCCTTGGAGGCGCGCGCCCGAACCGAACATATAGTATACCCATAGTGTAGCACATCGTTTCCCGAGCGGTGTGGCCAGAAAGCGCTCGCCACGACGCATATACTATTAGATTTCTCGGTGCGAGCGGCTCCTAGGGGGGCGACGCACATATAGTATAAGTATGTTGGGATGACGCCGAGCCGAGTCGGTAAAAGTCGAATCGGCGGAAATCGGCACGCCGCTGGTAGGCCTCCAATGGGAAGTCGAAGCCCAAATCGGAATCCGAAGCCTCATTGCACCGACCTTGCAGACGTGCTGCAGCGGATTTATGCGTGGATTTATGCGTGGATGTTTGCCAAAAGCGGCGAGCGAAAAACGAAAAAGAATGTCGCGTGGATTCTGCTTGGTCTTCAATCCTGGCCCAAAAAATCCACACGGAACTCACCTTGAAAGCAGGAACGAAATCCTCCAGGACACCCCGGGCCCACCCTATCGTTTTCGGAACGAAATCCGCTCTGCGATGTTGGCGCCATGAGTAGGGGAACAAAGTGGCATAAACATAAAAACTCGGAGGTCCGCGCGGATTTCTCGGATCGGCGCTGGACCCCCCTCCCTGGCGCGCGGAGCGCGCCAGGGGCGGCGCCGGAGGCGCCGCCGGGGGGACCCAGCGCCGATCCGAGAAATCCGCGCGGACCTCCGAGTTTTTATGTTTATGCCACTTTTTGTACCCCTAATGAGAAGCCGAATCGAATCGGAATCGGCATCCATCGAAGTCGAAATCGAATCGAAGAGAACGGAACGAGCCCCAGGGGAGGGACCCGCTGGCAGCCGGCGCGCGGCGGACGGGCGGCCCCCGAGGCTCCGCTGAGGGGCCCCTGAAGGCGGGAGGGGCCCGAAAGGGCGTCACAAGCGGGCCCCGAGAGGGGAAGGAAACGTGGGGGGGAGGAGGAGGAGGAGGCGAGGTGAGCTGCAACCGAGGGCGCAACGGTCAAGCCGCTACGCCTCGGCCGCGGCGCCGCGCGCCGCGAGGCCCGCGGTCTCAGGCAGCGCCCGCCGCGGGGCCGCGCCGCTGCTCGCCGCCGCCAACCCGCGCCCGCTTGGCGGGGGGCGGGGGGGTGGCGGCGGCGTCCTCCCGCGGCGGCGACGCCGAGGGGCAAGGGCGTCGGCGGCGAGCCGCCGCCTCCTCGGCGAGCCACACTCCTCGGCTGCCTCCCGACTTCCCTTGGCACCGCGAGCCGCCTGCAGCAGCCAGCGGACCTTGTCCTCGAGTCCGCGGCCGCTTGTCAGCGTCGTCCCCGCCAGCAGGCGGCGGCAGCGGAGGACCCTCGGTCGGCGGGACCACGATCGGCGGCGGCAGCGGGCTGCACGGCGGCCTGCCGCCCGCGGGGCCGCCGCGCCTGCGCTTCGCCGCGGCGGCGGGCTCCGCAGCAGGACGGCGTCGACGGCGCACAGGGGCCTGCGTGCCGCCTCGGCCCCGCCGCCTGCGAGCCCTCCTCCCGTGCAGCTCGATGAGGGACCTGCGGACCGCCCGCCCAGCCCGTGCGAACCCCCACGCCCTGGGCCACAGGCCGCGCGCGATCCGCTGCAGGTAGTCTCGACCAGTCCTGGACGGCCGCGGCGGACACGGAGCCCGAAGACATCGCCCCAGGAGTCGGCCCGCCGCGACAGCGAAGTGGCCACACCCCACGCAGAACCACACATCCAGCCGTCGATGAAGCCTCAGGCGGGGCCAGGTCTGGGCATCGTGCCTGGAGCCACTCCAGCCTGTGGCCCTCGATGCCCTGGCCTGGAGCCACTCCACCTCTTGCAGCTGCCCTGGCCATCCAGCAAGTGGGACGAGCCGAAGGCGGCGACCACGCTGGCCGCGGGAGGGGCCCTGCGGGGCTGCCTGGCACGCCGAGCTGGCCTCGCCTCTCGGCCCTCCGCCTCGATGGCATCGAGGGTGGCCCGCAACAGGCGCCGCCGAACCAGCAGCGCCGCATGCTCAGCCTGAGCGACTCGCGCACTATCAGCGCCAGGAGGAGAAGGGCGAGGAGGAGGAGGAGGAACAGGAGGAGGAGGAGGAGGAGGAGGAGGAGGAGGAGGAGGAAGACGACGAAGGCGAGGATTCGAAACGACGAATTTGAAGTCCAGCCGCCACGCGGCGAAGTTCCCGCCACCGAGAGCTGACGCAGGCGGTGGCAGTCCGAGAGAGCCGCGCGCACGAAAAAATGGGGCCCAACGGACCGAAAATCACTCCGCAGAGCCTCTCGGCTTGCCTGGCAACGTCCTGTCTCCTATTACATCCTCATCGTCGTGTTCCCGCTTTCTCCTCCTCCTCCTCCTCCTCCTCCTCCTCCTCCTCCTCTCCTCCTCCTCCTCCTCCCTCCTCCTCCTCCTCCTCCCTCCTCCTCCTCCCCCTCCCCCTCCTCCTCCTCCTCCTCTCCTCCTCCTCCTCCTCCTCCTCCTCCTCCTCCTCCTCCTCCTCCTCCTCCTCCTCCTCCACCTCCTCCCCCTCCTCGTCCTCCTCCTCCTCCTCCTCCTTCTCCTCCTCCTCCTCCTCCCCGTGCCGATGGTGCGCAGGGCTCCTGTTGGGTAGTAGGGGGAGGACGCACGGGGCGCCTGTAAGGAGGCCATCGGCCTCCGACGAGCACCTCCCCCGAGCCCTCAGGAAAACGCCACCGGGGCGACACAGGCTTTCTGGTTACCCCGTAGAGGGGGAAACCACCTTTTCGCACGACCGCCCGCTCCATCGAAGGTCGAAGGACGGGCATGGGAGCCCGCCACCCCAGCCCAGATCCCCCAGGCTCAGTGGTTGTCCAGGTGCTCCAGAAACACCTGGTGCGCCTGCTCATTTCTGGCCTGCGTGCATGGCCCCAAGCTGGCCAAAACCGCCGATGCAGGCGCGGCAACTTCGTCGATGGAGTTCGGGACGCTCACCCCCCATTTCACTCTCCCTTCCGCCTCCTATCGCTCTCCCCCCTCCCTCGCTCCAGCTGAACTAGGCACTGTAGGGCGACAGCGGTTTCCCCCGCCGCCGTCACCCTGACCCACGCGCTCCGGCCATGACGCCCCGATGCACCGCCACTGTGCCTGCAGGAGACACTTCGAGTTCGGTGCAAGCAGGGATGCCCAGTCAGGGCATGTGGTCACTGGAGCTCGGGGGGATCTTTCCCCGTTCCCAGGGACCCAGGCACCCAGGCACCAGGAGCACGGCTCACTGACAGGAACCAAGACCCAGGAGAGCCCAGGAACTCTGGAGAACCCCAGGATCCAGGAACCCAAGAGCTCAGGAAACCCAGGAACCCAGGAATGCAGCCAGCGCGCTAGAATGCTTTTATGTGGCATTTGCGTGCGGCACGAGCTGGGATGCCTACCGCTGTCGAGAGACAGGCGAGGCGTTGGCATCCGTGTGCCAGCTCACTTTTGGCCTGCTTGGACGTCGCCCATCCAGCCATTGCAGGCACGGCACCACAAACTCGATTCAACTTACCCACGCAAGCTTCGGCCAGCACGCCCAACTGCACCACCAGTGGGCCTGCATCGGGCACTTTGGTGACGTGCGAGCTGGGATGCCATTCATTGTCGATCGACAGGCGTCGGCAGCTTCGTGGCCGCTCGTCTTTGGCCTGCTTGGACGGCCCTGTGTCGCCCATCCGGCCGTTGCAGGCGCGGCACCCAAATAAACCTTACCCCCGTTAGCTTCGACCAACACGCCCCACTGCACCGCCATCCGTGCTGGTTTTGGGCACCTTGGCAACAGGCGAACTGGGATGCTGGGATGCCTACCGCTGTCGAGGGACGGGCGCTGGCAGCCGTGTGCCAGCTCAGCTCTGGCCCGCTTGGACGGCCCTGCGCCGCCCAAGCCGCTGCAGGCGCGGCACCCCAGGCATGACAAGGCACGGGGTCGGGCGACCTCGGGCCGCTCGCCCCTCTCCCCCACCTCCCCGCCGTCCCCCCTGCTTCTCCCCCCCCTCCCTCCCCTCTTCCCCCCTGCCACCCCTTCCTCGCCCTTCGCCCCCCGCTTGGCTCCCCCCCGCTGGCGTCGGCCGGCGCGCCCCGCTGCACCGCCACACTATGCCTGCACGAGGCACGTCGACGACGCGCGAGCGGGGATGCCCATCCCCGCCGCGTGGCGGGCCCCCGCATCCGCGCGCCCACTCCTCAGGGCCTGCTCGCGCGGCCCGGAGCCGCCCGCCTGGCCGCTGCAGGCGCGGCACCTCAGGCCCGGCATGGCGCTGAGGTCGGGGAGGCCCGGGCCGCTCGCACCCGCGCCGCCCCGCCTGGCCCCCCGCTCTCGACCGTGGGCCTCTTCGCCCCCTGCCTTCCCCCTTCCTTCCCCCCCCCCCTCCCACCTCCTTCCTCCTCCCCTCCTGGGCCTCCCCCCCCCCCTCGTGGGCCTCCTTCGCCCCCTTCCTCCCCCCATCCTCCCCCTCCCACCCTTGCCCCCTCGCTCTCGCTCGCCATCCTCCGCGCGAGCTTCCCCGTTACGGCTCGCAGCGGTGCCCCCCCCCCCTCACAGGTTACCCCTGTCTCTACTCTTCCTGGGCTCGCTTCCCCGTCCTCTCTGCCCGTCTCTGCCCTGCCCGACTCCTTCCTCTACGCATCCCGCCTCCCCTGACCCACGCCCCTGCCAGAAGGAGGGGGGCCCACTGGTTTAACGCGAACAAGGCCCTGATCCATCGCCAGATCCCTGTCGTAAGACTCTCCATCCCATGGCCCTCAGGTTGGGCCACGTCTCCTGTGGGGATCGGCCCCCACCCCGATCCGACCGCACCTCCAGGGACGGCCACGTCATCCCATGGAATGGGATACGTGCACGCGCCCATGGCGGAGGGGGAAATACGAGAGCTACGTGGAGGTGGAACAAACCCAATCCTAGGCGCCAAGGTTTCTCTA